ATATATATATCTAAGCGTCATAATCATAAAAAGACTAAAACGAAGACGAACAATTCTTAAACCTATCATCTCTTTAACAAATACATCCTAAGCGGTTAGCAGCCGTATTACCGTGAACATCAACTAGAAGCAAGAGACTTACTGCCAATTATAGCGGCAGTGGATAGTGCGAGCGAGGTCGTTGAGTGCCGTAAAGGCCGTCAGAAAGTCCATATGCCTGCACAGCCTGGTCAAATAATGTACTGTAATATAATCCAGTCCAGGCTTTATTTTGAAGTGGTCTAACCGCTATCCTAACAAGGTCAAGTAGAGGTTGTGAGACTGTTCCCGGTCAAAAACACCAATAATTGATCTCTTGAGCTGAGTTGATCGTCGAACATACGAGCGACTCATTCAGCTTCAGCACTGATTAACCATGATCAGATTGATGACGATCCACTCACGCAATTTCGGATGTGTTTATTTTAGGTCCTATACATAAGTGATAATAACAATAATAATTATACATATTACAGACTAAAAAGGAGCGAGGATGAAGCGCCTTTTGATCGCTCGTATCAGCTTATGCTGCGTCCAAGCTCATTCTATAATTATGTATGAATTCAAGCCCGGTTTAGCTTTGAAAATCTTCGGACGTTTGATAATATCGGTAACAATATGAAGATAAACACGAACTGAGCAGAACCTGTGAGCAAAACCAGTTGATTTAAGCCCGATATTGAACAATCAGTATTCGATAGTAGTTATTTGTTTGTTCACCGATGGTATACAATGACTAAAATAATCGACGACGTTATAACTGGCAATAGCGAAATCGTGAACGGAAACCACTTCTTGCCACATACAGACTTATATACTGTTTTTCCGCTGTGTAATGTGGTGACTCGATGATGGAGCTTCTATGCACATCAATGGCCCCTTTCACACATTATCATTTAAGTTAGAACTACCTAGAATATTCGTCAATTTTCTGTACACGAAGAAATTGCATATTCAAATGAACACCCCAAACGATACGTGTCCAATAGCCACGAGATGCGAAGTTGTATACAACGGTTGTCAATGACAGATATTTGATACGATAAAAACCTTGTCAAAATTATACATACGGATGCGAGCACAGATGCATATATCTAAAATCTCTTTTTTTAAATTAAAGTCTCTACCGAAGGTGCGTAAAATGAACACTTCTCATTACAACATGTAGCAACAGACGAAACGGTTATATAGATACACGTGTTGATATAATAACAAATCATTAGTGAAATGGGAGTGATCCAAACAGTCAATGTTGCAAGCATACGACACTAATAACATACCAATGAAAACGAGGTAACATCTAGCTATAAGCGTACAGCTATGTCCTATTCACACTGCGTATGGCTCTGTCTCGCTGCTCGGTACGAAGTTGATCCAGAAAATCCCAAAAAAAGCAGTTCATAAAAGGGCAATAGCGAGAGATCAGCAGAGACCTATACTTGTAATTGCAGCGATGACATTAGTGATGTCATAGTATTGCGTACATATCCGAGAATGAACATATCAAGGGGACGATGGCAGGAAGAAGGCAGGAAAAAAAGAGTCAAGCCAATGGCCTCTAAGGGATACCTTGCAGGGCGGCGTATGGCTGACGTACCGTCGCCTGGTGCCTCTCTCACCAGCAAGTTTTCTCACAACAGAACATTCGATCAAACCTAATTGCCCCTATAGTCCTGGCAGAAAAATCGTATCGTTTCCTCCAAGCGTAGCGCATGACGGCTCGGCCTAGCTCAGCGACTCTCCAGCAGATCCGTCTGTTTTTCTTGTTTAACCGGAAAGAGATAGCAGCAGCGGTTGCGGTGGTCCTGTAAATGAGGGGCCAGAACAGCCACAAGCTAAACGTTTTGCTGTTGGTGTTCGATCAAGGAGTAAGCGTAAGTTTCTATTGTATACGTAAACCCGCGTCCTAACACACTGGGCGGTGACGAACAACCGCGTAGACATCTGTCTCCTGGACCTTATTACTATTAGTAAACTGTTATTGGCGTCACGACGTGAAAAAAATAATGTACCACTAAAAGGGTCAACAAACCCGGTATTTAGTTGTGTAGCTACCACCTTTATGAGCACCGTGGGTCGAGCCAATTCTGCCATGTAACAACAACACCGTGGGTTGATTATATATCATGTTACTCTAGAGGTCAGTTGTACTATAGAAGAGAAATGCCCTTATTGTTGCCCATAAAGATGATGACTATTATTATTATTAGTTTCATTATTATACATATATTCAGCTAACCTTGCCATGTTAACTCACACCGTCAATATTGTAACAGCCTTGCTGATTTACTAGTCGTTTTATGCTCCGCCACAAGATTCTCTCCTCCCTTATTTTATGTATGATTGACTGAATGGGTATGGAGCAATTTTTTTTGACGAAAATAAAAATGTACATAGATATATATTAAGCATAGAAAGATAAAGGATTTGACTTGACCAAGGTAGCGAACTCAAGTCAAGAGTACAGATATATGAAATGCGGCCCACTCAAAGCGATCTCAAGTTGATTTTAACGTTCTCAAGTCATTAACCAGCTGTCCGATGCATTCCGCGCATTATAAATTAGTTCATAGGTCACAACGTTGTTAAAAGATATGTACACAACCGAAAAGTCGTCGTAGGCCACCGAGCCATATTCTAGAAAGCGACCATTCCCAAATAACGTCAGGAAACTTTTATCGTAGGACCTCCAACATCAATTATTTCTTTAGACACAGATTAACAGATCTATAATCCATACATAGATATAAGCTATACAATATAACCTATCTCTAACCTGTCTCCGACCAGTCAAAGTGGATACATTCAGCCATAGAGCATACACCATAATGATAACAGATAACAAGGCAATGCATTTCTGACTATTGCCATATAACGACAAAAGAATACCAATGCTCTTATTATAATATTAAATTAGCTATACTATTTGCATTTACTACGTTATTATTTGTTCAAGAACATTGTCTTTGTTATTTTCATGCAATTAAAATAATTATTAGAACATATTGTGCCAGTGGGGTAGTTGCAGGGTAAATATAGCTGGAAGCAAGGAGAAATGAGATTGACCGTATATCATAGATGCAGCATCACATAAATTGATGATTAGCATAACAATAACAATAGGCATGGCATTGAGAAGGCGCCGATCGCTTGATACAACAACTACTGTTCAACTATTATACAAAAAACGCGCAAGAAATAATGGGAGAAATAGTAAAAATCGTAAACACTAACAATAAGAAGCTGAACACATCACGACTGCAACCGTCAATGGCGGCGACACCTCATCGAAGCGGACATTGGGTTTAGGAAATCTGTCGACCTGTCTGTCATTATACGACGAATGAAGGTGGTTACTAGAAGCATTAGTGAGAAGAAGCTATCGGAGCCGTCCGAGTATCGTAAGCCTCAAGAGAAAATGTCAGCTCAAAAAGCAACGAATCAAGCAGCTAACGGCTCGAAACGGAACAGAGACTATTGATGAGACACTCGCAAAAATGGCGCCTAACAGCTTCATCGTCGTATGTATATATATACGGAGAGACAGTGTGTCAGAATGTAGTAGCATATTGAAGAATGTGAACTAATTCTAAAAACGAAACACGTACGCAAATGATAGAGCCAGAGAAAAACCTAATTGTTCATTTTTGAATAAAAATAACTTGTGATCTATTCTAGCCAGGTATCGTTGTGATGAACGCCATCTTCGTTACCACCGCTCTTACCGTAACTGCTACTACCAGTATTAATACTACAATTAATTGTATCTACCTCCACAAGGCTCCAAATGTAGTAGTAGCGCTAGTAGAATATACACCAAGCTTTATAGATATCGCTGAGAACCCACGGCGGCAATATCATCCAGTATCCATCACAAATAAGTTTGTTTACAAACTAGAGCTTTAGAGTGCTTACAAACGAATTACAATGCGGCAAGACAAACTCAGTGAATCTAAGTCATTTGCCGTGTCGTTGTAGACGCTAAAACAAGGTATATAAGTAAATACTTATACATTAGACTGAGCAGTAAAGGCGCTGTAGTTTAATCTAACGATGACATGATTATAAATGACACTTGCATAGACACGGATATGCGAACACGCTGCATGACAGGTAAATCCAATAAGGATAATAGAACCCACACAAAGAGCTACTCCATAGTAAACAAAGGGTTATTAGAAATAATATTAGCAATGATATGACTATTGTCTTAGTACACCATGTGTATGAGTGGTAGTTTATTAGTTTAGTTTATTAGAAAAATACAATATAATAATGCCTATGAAAATAGCAGTATAAATATGATCGTCCAAGCAATACTCCATAAATGCTTCGTACTTAGTACACACGCACAGACTCGCAGATACACGCATTTAAGCACACAAAAACATGACAATACGATTTGTAGTAATCATTGACGATATTTGTTAGATGGAAGAGTGTATCGGTAAAAAAAAACATTTCATTAACAGGAAGGTAAATAGGAAAGATGGTGGAGAAAATTTCGAAGCATTAATCGCTGTGTGTATTTCAATTTCATACACTCTGTTCGTAGTTAGATACAATGATGGTAGCGCATCATCCATGTCGTGACTGAGTTCAACAATGACTGGTTAAAACAGCATCAATGCCCATTATAGCTGCGATTTGGTCGGGCAGATCCTATCCGAGATGCGATGCTGTTCCATCCGAACGTGGTCAGCCCTGAAGCCACAACGTGCATCAGATCGAAGATCTCTGCCTGGCTGGTTGTAGCTAGATGCTATTCGCTAATGCAGTCAATTGCTGAAACCTGTTAATAGTCGTCTCCGATTGATTGGTCACCTGCAGTTATCATTTTCTAAGCCATCAATCGACAGACACACGAAGACGTTCAACAGAGAACAACCAGAACAGCACAAACAACAGTTTTCAATAAAGAACCGCAACAAATCATAAGAATGATCTCATCATCACTGCACCATACAGTAAGGGAACACTACAGTGAGATCAACTGCGAGGGTGCAAATGGGAAACAGCAATAGTGGGATATCGCGCAACTCCGGGTCAGCTGCATCACACCCATCTGCCACATTACGTGAATGCTAATGGATTAGCGATATGCCGAAACCCAATCAACTGCCCTATGACCCCATGAAACAAACGACCCAGTCTGTTTAGGAAGGACGAACAAAGAGCTAAGTACAACACGAGACGCATAACAGAATGGGTCAAATTAGCCATGTCTCCGTCGCCAAGTCCGACTCCGATTATGAATCGCACGTTATACTCGTCATATTGCCGTCGAAAGTCTACATCTAATCTTTACGAAATCAGCGCCACGTTTCACAAGTTTACCGTTACCAACAGGCGAAGAAGGACCAAATCACACACAAAAGTCCAAGAATGTATACACTTACAAGAACCCGAATTAAACTAGGTTACATGTCACGTCTCAGCAGATGTGGCACGACAGCGCGCCACCAGACTGCTACAGCTCGTGGGAAAGCTTCATACTAGTACGACTGGTTGGATTGTGGCGTATGAACGTATTACCGGAACTTCATGAAGAGAACCGTACGCAGTTTGCGATCATCGATTTATTATGAGACAATAGCCGCAGATATGTGGTTTAGTTCCGTTTTACTTCCTAACGCAAACAAGCTAACGAATAAATAAACACGAAAATAAAGAGGAAGACAGAAAAGTAAAAGGAAAAGCACGTAACACGTTCTAATACTTGTCAGCGACATGTCATCACACGGTCATATGACTTCATTTCTTCCTAGACAAACATATCGATGTATGTGTGTGTCCAGCTAACGAACCTCCTCCTGCTTTCCGCTAAACGAGGAAATGGAAATTGCCAACCAAGGCAATACCCCTCCTTTCGATAAAGGTACCCTAAAATGGAGTCCGATACCACGCAAGTCGTTCAATTCATGCGATGACCTATACAAATATCTTGATTTAGCACTGGAGTGTTGCAAATGGAGAACGATTATAGTTGTTTAACAGACAAGCGCTCTAGCTCGCTAGGGAGCAACGTGAGATCAGAGGAAAGACACCTATTACCAGTTTTCAAGACCCATAGTGTAACTTGCTTCTGTAATGGATTACCAATGAGACCAAAATATACCAAAAAGTTTAAAGAACACCTGCAAGAATCAACTTGAGAATTTCTCGTTAGTTACGGAAGTGGCCATATATTAGGATTGACACAAGCGCATTGATCACAGCAATTTCTAACGTCTGCGCGGCTGTCACGCCCGAGTATATAACACTATGATATGTTGATGATGATGCTGCAAAGAATGAAGCAATTTCTATAGTGATAGATACACTTGAATAAGAAAATAAGATAGGCAAAAAATGTAATGTATACCAGTGGATGCAGCAGCAGGTTCCATGACGATGAAATGAAAATGAACAAACAAATGGTAATATGCTAATAATAGTAATAATGATAAGGATTTGCACACAGTATCTTCTCTCTTTGCACCGAGATTTCATTCCTTGGACAATTTTTATTAAAATATATATATATATATATATATATATATATATATATATATATATATATATATTATCATATACTATAGATAGTAACCGCTAGCTATATATATATATATATATATATATATATATATATATATATACCCTATCTACCTATATACAATTAAACATTACATACCAAAAAATGGGTTTGAGACATTAATAATAATGGGAAAAAAGAAGAAAATAACTATATGAATGATAAACAAAACTGCGATTAGATACAACAGATATGTAATATTATTATATATTATGCTTCATAGGTCGAGAAGAGCTAAATATGATGATATTTATGTATTTATTATAATTAATATTATTATGAAAAATTATTAACGACAACAGTTATAAATATGATTATTATAATTACTATGATTATGATATTGACAGTTGAGAAAAGGAAGAAGATCGCATAGAGACACCATTCAGCCATTTTGTGAAGAAGTTAATTGCAAATGCAGGAAATGCTGATGAAGAATAAAAATAATAACGGTATAATCACAAATAATAATAACAAGAATAATAAAAATAGTCGTATCAATAATAAAGGGAACAGTGAACAAGCACTGACAACACGGATGAACACACATCTGCATGATGAGTAACACACAAAACTAAAAAGCCAATACAGAGAAACCATAACATATATCAAGTCCATGATATATAAATAGGACGAATAATAATTATTATTAAGCCACCGTGAAGAAGCGTTGACAGGATCGAAACGATCGTCTGTCCCAGTAGGTCGATTTGGACCCATTTCCTAGCCGGCTGATGACAAGACCATGTTCACCTAAGTCCTTTTGCTTTCTTTCAATCTGCTGCTTTCCAATTATGTGACCCTTACTCACCATGACCAATTAGAAAAAAAACTAAACCGAATCAAAAGCAGCACATCTAAGAAAAGATTACTACTGAGGTCAAATCTACCTAGCCTACTGTAATTCTATCTCTGATTTACCCTAGTAGAACTGACCTGGATAACACTATCCATTATGTATAAAGAAAAACGCGCATATTCATGATGAACTCTGCACATTCGTCTGATAATAAATATTTCGTAATGATATTAGGCACCGGTGTCTTACTGTCGCGCTGGAACGGCATGCAAATCATGCTGCATAAGGTTAATACATGTACAAAGATAGGGTAGTATAAAAAAGAAAGTGCCGCTCTAAATATTCGTTATCGATATCCTGGCTCTCTGTTATAATTAAATACGTACTGCAGACGTCACGCTAAATGACCTCGTGTCGTGAGGCGAACGCTCATTCGCCTGGGCCCTATGGTCTGATATGTACAATTTCTTTGTTCAGGCGCCACCTGAACAATTCCGACAGGATAATATATAATTTAATATGACCGAAACAAGAGCTGAATTTGTGAGCATTTTGAATTGCTAAAACATGGTCAGTGTCGACTTGGCTTATTACCTAAGATTCCTCGATATCCAAAGGCTTATATGATAGGTGTCTATGCAATTGCGAACTCTCTCCCTTCGACATACGATGATCCAAATCGCTTCTGCAATTAAGGACCAGAGCTAGCTCCTTTTCTCGAAGCATCACATCATTTCGGACTTTTATCCATTTCATTGAGACATTACTATTTTCAGTTATTCTAGTTCGTTTTCTCAAACGATCACCTATTTTCAGCCACCAATTAGAAAACCTGTGCATCGAACAAGCCGGCCTTCTCTTGTTTAAACTCAACACTAGCGATAATTAATGCAATGATTAACTTGAGTCCTACTAATCTACGAAGCGTAGAGTAACGTAGTTATTGTTAAATTTATGTCTAATCAGTCGTTTTCTTTTATGCCTCGTCACGCTCTTATGAATCTCGTATCCAGTCGAATCTATCTACTCAATGTCATTAACAGATGCAATATTATAATAATGAGCAGTAGCAGAAACAACAACAAGCAACCACTATCTGGTAGAAACTAGACCTTCTCAAATCACTCATATCTCATAAGTACACATATTATCAATCAATGTATACAATATACAATTATTATTAATAATATATTATTAGCACTAGTATTGTCAATGTTTATAATATACCTACTATTCCACAAGGTTACAGTAATGCACTGGACAGATATTTCTGAAACAGATGATTCTCTTCTTATCAAACAAGCACGTGTATCCTCCTGATGAAAAATGTAGCATTGGTTCATTGAATTCAAAGCAACAGTACTTATACAGTAACAAGTATAAAGAATAAATAATCTATATATATATATGTATGTACTAAATCGAGCAACACGATGCAAAGCAGAAAAAAAGGACCAAGCAAACAAACACCTAAAAAAAAAAAGGGAGAGATACAAATAAAGAAAAAAAACGCCACCACCGCCAAATTACATCTACATGTTGTCAAGACACAGGCCAACAACGACATCAGTAGGGCTACTCTATGCTGTTGTTTAGAACGAACAGCTGTTGCGATAGGATCGAATACCATAACAACATAGCACTCACAGTGCTGTATTACAAGCAACAAATAGACCAGAAAATCAATTGCGGCAGCCATTTTAGCTAAATTTTAATAATAAAAATGACCTATACTTGAAGGCAATTAACATGCTCTGAGTTAAACTGTCCCCTGACGATTTCGTCTACTAGGCAGACAGCATTTGGTTCGATCGCTTGCTTGCGCGCCATCTTTTAAAAATAACAACAAAAACTCAAGGCGTTCCACGAATAACAGAGACCTAACGAAACCAGAACATCATAAAAAGTTTTGCAGAGATGCAGTACACACAGAAATATATACAAAGATATAATTGATTTATTTCACAAACATACATATCGGGGTGGACATATCGAAATGGAAAATTTGTTGGGACATGATCTCTGTGACGGGAACAAGCAGACACGGCCATGACGATCATCAACCGACTTTAACGTAAAGGTCAAGCGGTATCAGATGGTATTTTAAATTGAAAGAAAAAAAAATAACGTCACTGTTGGAAATAACGATAGCCACCACCTAACGTGAGCGGATTAAACTATTTCACTTTTTCAAACTTCTCACACACGCCCAAAGAGAATAAACCTTCATATAAATCCAAGAAAACACTAGCGATTATTGTATCGATGCTAATGATATAGAAAAGTACATATATTTCTGTGAGACAGAATCAGGATATGATAGGAACCAATGTGACGATCAAATAGCTTAAGAAAAGCGACGTAAATATGAATAACTGCGGACAAATGCTGCAAATAAAAATGATTACTTTTTCAATGTCATAATCTGTCATGCTAAGAGAAAGCAACAATTCCGTTTATAGCAATTTGCCTAAAGATTCATTTCTGCTCTAGCCAATTATCTTTCAAGCTTCCTTCAACCATTTATAATAACATACTATTAATCTACATCGATTACGTAAAAGTTAATCGGTTTTTACCATTATCAATAATGAGAGAATTCCAGACGTCGTTTTGTTATTGTGACAGCTTAGTATAAAGAGCTTCGACGAACGTAGTCAAATGGGCAGTAGCTTTGTTGATTCCTGCGAACAAAGAACAATATGCTTCAGTTGAGCCCGATAGCCTCACCGGAAGGCATCGCACAAAAATGTATTTGTTCGAGCAAAAATCATACACGTCGGTTGAGAGATTCACCAGCGGCAACAGCAGGAAAAATGCGAGAGAGTCAACCAGTTTGAGATACTGTAATAGTGCCCGCGTGTGTAATTTCCTGCGTGTGCGAGATTTTTCGTTCTGGTCGTCCTTGGCTTCTTTTCGCTCAGATGCTTAGGTCGATTTGCCGCAAGCGTGAGTAGCATCGTAAGAGGTGCTGTTACTCGCTACCGCCGAAGATGTGTTAACGTTCAAATAGGCGATGAAAAGAGTGAAATACTGAAACCCTTGAAGACTACAGACACACACACACACAAGCAAACATACGAACAGGCGCACAAGCCTCACCCCGTGCTCTGCACCAGTAGCAGCAAATCAAGGCTTTATAGGATAGATTTACTCGTGACTCAGTCAACCGTCAATAAAGTCAAGTAACTTCTTGCACTTGCCAAGTTCAAGCGACTTGAGTGCGGGATTCCAGAATATCGTCGGAAGCTGTGTAACATACCAACGCGCCCGCGGGCATCGCGAACACAAACTTTCGATGGAGGTGTCACCCGAACTCTATCGAGTGCACGATCCGCATCGGTACCTGGTTGATCCCTTGCAAGGTCTTTACCATCTTTTTAAAGGCGATACCTCTTAGAGCTGCTGTGCCAAAACCGAAGACTGCGACCTCTGCTTAACCATCGCAGCCACCGTTCAGCATACTAATAACTTCAACATTTCTATCGTATTCGGTGGAAACTTCATTCCTGAAGTGTATTCTCCGATGTGTATAATTTTCTAATGACAGAGATCAATACACATTCAAGGCTACTTGCACGAGCCGTAGTTTCTTCGGTCATAACAACAATGATAGCTAGTGGTAACTTAGCTAACTGCATTATTTTACGTAAATCTGCGTTGTACGTAATGCAATACAAAACTGATTCTAGAATCATCAAGTACATCATATAATGCTTTTCCTCAGAGAATGAAACGAGGATTTTTCAATCCTTCCCGATGCAGCAATAATCTCACCAACCGTAAAATATCACCGAATAGTAATCTATACATCAACTGAACCACTATCCATTGCCTTTGCTTACTTTGCATAGCCGGGGTAGAGTTAAATGAAGCGTCATGTTCAATTTCAGATCAACATACAATAAGCTCCTTACGATTGCACTACTGGTAGTAATAATGCGAAAGAAAAACCTACGAAAAACACAGTGCAAACGACGTGCGCTCGACACGTAATTAAAGAGGCGCGTGTCTAGGCTTCGATATTATTACATCTCTTGGAATGGCCTCGAACCCTTTTCTGTAAACCGCGGTTCCTTTGTAGAGAGCCAGCGTCTTTGATGATCTATCGGAACTAACGATGCGAAAATCAATAGCAGACGCCAGCTAAGAGAATCGATCAGCCACGTTCAGGAGCATTTTTTTTCTGTACCAGCCATGTCTTAATACGCATTGACTGACCATCATGTGTACCGCACCTACTTATTAGAAGTAGTGCATGTATTCGTGGAAGCAGAAGCATTTGTATTTGCCAAAATCGCCGACGAAGATAATGGTTGCTGACAGAATATGGGGCTAAGTAATGATAAGGATCCATAACTACTGAGCGAGTGCTAAAACTATAGCAAAAAATCAATAGCGCTTGTTTCTGTTACGCACGGAAAAGTCTAGCATGTTTTTCACTTCACTGATCTGGAGCAGCCGTCTAGACCTACGGCCGGTCAACCTGGCAAGCTCAGTTCGTGTTTGGACCTCGGAGCCGTCTACCCCGACCATCGTACCAAGCCTTAGTCGGCCTCGCGGTACGAGCGACCTGGGCACCATCTGCCGAACATGCTCAGTCTTTTGGCCTGGAAATGGTTTTTTCCAAACAGTGAAGCAAAAACCAATTTTGCTTTTAATTACCATTACAACAGCAACAACATCATCAGGACATGTCTAGCCACCATTATACAATGTTGACGAGCTCAATAACTGGAGTTAAAATATATTGATTGATAAACACAGCGTTTAAATGCACCTTCATGGGGCACGCCTAATTGTTTTCGTCGTTTAAAATTACTGGCACGTCAGCCATCCGAAAGACATTCTCTGCGCGGCACGTCCGTGACCACAAGTGCCACAGCGATCGCGATGCTATACGATCCCTCCACAGTTTTCATCGATAGCAGATTCGTTTGCGGGTTTCAGTCAGTCCGGTCTGAATGCTATTAAATATACGCTTCGCATTTAAATACATATGCGATACGTTAGTTACGCGGACGACGGGACCCTGTCGAAATTCGGTGCCGCTCACGACTGTCTTCTTTTTCCTTTATACATCTACTTGTATATTTGTGGATATAGTTTTTGTGTGAAGAGTTCACTGGATTTTTGTTACGCAGTCGTTAACTACGTGGCCTAGGCGATGACATGCAAGCGTCAACCTACGTGTTGAACTTCCATATGCCATAGACGCAAATGGCCTCATAGATTATAACTGGTATTAGATTCAATCATGTTGTCACGCTTAGCTATCAAAAGCTGCGGAGGGTGGATCAGTCGTGGCAAAGCAAAACGCAACACTGTCTCTCCCTGAAAACCCTAAACAACCGACGAATGCCCATGACCGTCGTGGTCATACGAAAAACATGTAAAAAAGTGTCCCTACCATAATTCCACTGCGACTACTTAGCACTTGATCGAGCAATTAGCCAAATCAATTGAGACATTTATTACAAAGAAGTAAGGCAACCACCCACACACACACACACACACACACACACACACAATATATATTTATATATATATATATATATACGTGTCGTACATAACTCTGCACCAAGGCTCTTCAATATCCACTGCACCACACAATAATTAAAAGTAAGTGACAATAAAAAATATTATTAATAATAATAGTGACTATTATCCTATAAAACGATAATTATAATGACGGATGGCAGTGCTGAAAAAGGTAACTAGATAATTAACTTAGAATCTACCATTAGAGACTGGATATAAAATGACACACACACACACACATACGCACGCTCAATATTGGATACGCCACTTGATAAAAATCACTTCTTGACAAATGATCTGGAGCGGCGACCACAACAATTTAGACGAAATTATGCTGCATATATGATATTATTGAATAAACGATAATGTTCACATTATAAAAATAACAGTAATAATATCAATAATAATGATATAGAGATTATTATTATAGTATTACTCTTATTATCACTGTTAGTCCTCATACGTATCAATGCGTCTACGCGATGATTATTACTAGTATTATTATTATTATGTCGTTATTATATATTCTACGTGCTACCTAACTATAATTCTGATCTCAAAGCATGAACCTATCTGGCTGCCATACCCATCCCTAAGCAAGGCTCTGAGCGCGCATCGCATTGCTCCATCCCGCATATTCGGGACTGAACCGTGATCACGGTCAGGCAACTTGCGACGAGCGAGCTTAGCTCCTTTCCAGAATCCCGAAGGCCTCTAACCATTATAATAACTACTATAACCGCCAACTTAATATCTGCTACTTTGGTGATACCGCAGTTCAGCCATGCTTCCCGGTAAGCCCCCCTCTAGCTTTGCGGGGCTTTCTGGGGCGAACATCAATACATTGGAAAGTGGAAGAGAAAGAAGAACAAACGTGACGACCACTTTCTACCCATAACAAATACATTCACGACAACTCCATGAATACCAGCATCAATATCAAACAACTCATTTATCTACAGACATACACACACACATATATATACATACATATCTATATATATACATATATATCTCTGTCTATATGTATTCATCTCTCGAGACGGGCCTACGTCGTCTCCGTTGCTGTCCAACCTTGTGACCATCAAAAAGGAAACACCACACTTCAAGCTAACTATTTGCTACTAATTCAGAAAGCTACCAAAGAGCCAAGGGCGAAGCCGGCCAAACAAACTAATGGCATGCCTATCTTTTTATCTGTTATTCAACTGAAGGGCGCTTACGACTCATTTTGAGTGGTGAAGGATTGCGTCTTGGACAACACTTCCGTTTTTCAAACCGGGCTAAAACCGGCTAGTTCGGAGCAGCTGGCAAGTCGGGACAGGCAAAATAGGCTGAAATCGAAATTCAATTAAACAACTGTTAGCAGCAAAGAATACGGTTATAAAAATAAATAGACAACCGTACAGATGGTTGTGGTTATCAAAAAAATATTCGGTTCTACTTAAATAATAGATTTTGAAATTATAAACGCACCAAAAAGAGTAGCTCTAACTATTACATGATAATGCGGTACTTACGTTGCATTTCGCACGAGACGCAAGACATCACGTGGCACACACACGTGTATATATATGTGTATAAGTATTGGCGTCAAGGTAAAATTGTATCGTTCGAAGATATGGTATCGCTGTTTAAAAACTTGTGTCGAATAAAAAGCAATAAGCATCGAGCCCGAGGCTAACTGCCACGTCTCAAGTCAGTCGACCTTTTTACGGCAAGCAACGATATCGTCACATGTGAGGTTGGCACGAGAATGAACTGTCGCTTCGAAGCAAGCTCGCTGCAGCGGATGTCGAGTATGGTGATCCGTAAGTAAAAATTAGACACTATTTGTTATTTTCGCCGTTCGTAATTGAATGGGTCTTTGGACAAGTCGATTGTATGACTGATTGCATTACTTTGGCGTGTATAGCCCGGGACGAGTGTTAAGAAAACAGAGATGGACGCCGAGACAGCCTCACAACCTCGGCGTACCGCAGGGGACTACTATGTCCCCGTGATATATCGTGTATAGATCGTTGATACTAACTAAAAATAATTAGTGACATGACGCTTACAATAAAGATGATGACGATTATTACAACAACAACAACAACAACAACAACAACAACAACAACTACGAGAAATACATACAACTGTTGTTCTTTGCCTCGAAGCAGTACTGCACAGTGATGCATCACACCTATCCAGGACAAACAGGACATTAGACAGAAGAGCGAATAACAACAAGACAAAAACGCGACTAGGTATAAAAGCTAGAAAAAAGACTGAAGGTGGGACTGCCGTCTGTGCGAAAACCCAGTATATGAATCCGGTATTGGAGAAAAGCATTGGATAATAGCCAAATATAGGAAAATTCGTTAATCTCTGCCCATGTCTAGCCAAGCAAAAAGGACAGATGCAAACAAATTTTGAGTGTTCCTGTTCGATCGCCTCCGTAGGGTCAACAATTAAGGAAAACATCGTTTTGTCATCGGTGAACACCAAAGAGGCGCCGCGTATACACTTATCGCATTTAGCCGCGCGAAAATTTGAACTCGTAATAAATCTTCAAAATCATTTAATTATTACAATATCAGCATACGAAGCGTATAATTCAATTACGCGATGTGCTAATAGGTATCATTGTAACAGAGGTTTTCTGAATACAAATTTAAACATGTGTAATGGTTACTCCAGAAGTGATTGGAAAATATTTTCAATAATTTAAAAGCGTTATAATAATAATAACAGATACAAAGATATAGCCTATACATGTGTTATTATTATAATTACGATCAGTAACTAGCCCAGGCTGTCGTGCAGTCACAAAAAAAAGATCGCACTAGACGTTGAGACGACGATTGACGGCACCTTGGCGAAACGGAGATATGCTAGCCGCCTATAATGTTTATATACAGTGAAAAATAAATACGTGTATATCCTCCAATAGCATGAGAGAAATCATTTGCATTAAAAATGGTCCAAAGATGGCAAACGTACATTGGGAGGGATACGGGTAAGGGGCTGTCAATCTGCCGATCAGAACAGTGAGAGTAATATTCACTAATAACAACGGGAATACAGGTACATATATCGTTTCTAAAAATCGTTCATATACCGTGTTACATATTACGCGCCACCTAGCAGTTACACAGACGAACTAAACCGACACACATTGTCCTTAAATGAATATCCCTATGTTATGCCTTGAACATTTTCTGCTTATTGAAAATAATCTTATATCGAAGCAGCCCCGTCACTCTGCTGCGGAACACAATTACAAAGGGCATCTAGGGAATGAGAAGTTCAAACAAGGATTTAAGCTAGCAGTCAAAGTACTTAATTACTTCATGGATTTTTACCTTTTCGGTTTTGTTACGTTACGATTAAGCACAAGACACCTGAATATTTGTGGACACAAGCACAGCTTAGCTTTCCTTGGCGCTGCCTTGCCTGGATTCCCTCCACTATCTTTGCTTTCTAACTACATGTAATTACACTGTTGCATTCGCGATTACTACATGTAACTGTAATAAACAAAAGGAGCGTTTCAAACACCTATTCTGACAAACATAGAATGACGACTTACTACTAGATTGCTTGTACGCACTTCGCTGAAGATTAGACATTCATAACAAATCAAGACTTTGAAGAAGTGAGAGAGAGAGAGAGAGAGATAGAGATAGATAGATAGAGAGAGAGAGAGAGAGAGAAGGCCGGTACATGTGGCAATAAATATCTCCGCTTTCAAAAACTCACCCCTCATATTTAAATCCATCTCCAATATTACATGTGACTTGTAATAAACTGGCGTATGGCACGCAGTTTAAAAATCGGACCATGCTATGAAAAAACGTCAATAAGGTATTTTTTGCTATAACAAGAACTTTTACGGTGGAATTGTACGCGTGATAAAGATTATTTTCAATATAGTACAAGTAAAGCGCGCAGAGCGAAAACGTAATTACTGCGGTTCTAGTTACACAGGATATTCCTTCATAAGCTTGTAACGGCTTGCATTAAAAATTCTCACAGGTATCGAATTAGTCATGGTATTGGTGTGCTTGGCGTTCGATACAAAATAAACAGGTTATTTATTATTAAATAACGTTACTCACCCAAGAGAACAGACTTCTTCTAAGAGGAGAATCGTGGATAGACGCTGTATAACCAAAGAATCTATTTGGTAAAAGTCGAAGATTGAAATAAGCAAGCTCGCTCATAGTGTTTACAAGACGTATGACAAAAACGGTAAGTCTGACAAAAGTTTGGTGACTTTTGGATGCAGTGTTACCATCTACTGTACAATGCTCCCATTATTCAATTGCAAATACTTGCCCGACGTTGTTATTGGGCATGAGCATAGGGGGCGTCATAGAGCAAACTGGAATATGAGACAACAGGAGTCGAATAACGGGCCAAAATAAATACAAGATCAGTCACTCGTATGAGATACGATGACAGATACCCATAAACAAAATTGATTCAGAGCTGAAATAAGCTATGTAATATCGAGCGCCGGATCAATTGATTATATCATCTGTCGAGAAGATGACGTTCTTTAGGCGTGAACGTAAACGAGACAGGTAATGAAAACTCATACATATATCTAGACGAAAATACGGCGCATAAGTTATTTTTCGAATACCCACATTCTCTCTAAAAATGGGACAAGAGAAGCAATAGAATTGATATATATCTACATATATAATATATCGGTGTGCATCTCAGCTAGGTACTCGCTGCGAGCTAGCTGTCTCTATGTAGCACGTACAACGCACTCAGAAATTGCGGACAACGACAAAAAACAAAAATTGATCAGATAGCAGACGACAAACAACAGCGATAGCAACACAATAAATAAATGAAGAACAAGCGATGCCGACGATGACGACGATGATGATAATAATAATAATACTAATAATAAACACTGCAACTCTACCGATTTTGTCCAGAAATCCACGTGTGTTCTATATTTGGTAGTTACAGTTATAGAAAAATGAAGGGGTTGAAGGGCGGTAAAAGGAAATTAAGTCTTCAAAAAGAGCTAGTAATGATTCTTTTTTTTTTGCAAATAACAACTGCTAGCTGAACATTCAGTACGGTCATATCGATTCTCCCTGATGGTACAAACGGTAAAGAATAATAGAATCTAAATATTATTCTCTGATGGAACTATAAGGGCTGACAGCCGTGTGCATGGATAGGGTGTGTCACGTTGTTGTAAGTCTTGAGCAAGTTAGCTTTTTTGTGACGTAACTCACATTATTACTTACAAGCTTTCGCATGTATGAGTTACTTACGAAGACGTGCCTTAATTTGAATATACTACATAAATAAATAAATATCTTTGGAGGTATTTACAAAGTCAATGTAGGCTGTACCTCTTGAGGCCGAACAAATGTTAATCGTCCAAGAAAAACAAAATGAGTTTTGTAGGTTGAAGCCCCGACACCAGTCGCCCACTTTGGTACAGCCTTGTTATTTGGCTACCATTGAACGTTAGTACCAAGTAACGCGCAGTATAATACGCTACTAAGTGATGTGAGCAGGAATTATGCTTTCTGTGTCGCAGAAAAGACGGTTTTATGCTAGAACTACGTGAAACGACATATCTTGTATAAGGATCTATACAAAATACAAGGAGTAGCAAGTTTTTTTGGGAACAAGTGAGTAGCTTTTCTTAAATCTATAAGTTTGAAAATGATCATACTTCTTAATTTACTTATTATTTACGTAGTATACTGTACCATTGCTACACAGGGCAATTGCTTCTCTGGTGTGCTTCTATAAATTTCTTACTTATAAACAATAGATAAGCAACTTCGTTATTGTACAATGAGCGATTCAGTGGTTCAGAAATTAAAAATTCACGCTATATAAACATATATATTATGCATCTTAGAAAGCTAACATAATTGAAGTTCCGCGTAGTTTCGGCTGCAAGAGATGAAATATAACTTACTTATTTAATAAGAAATGTTGACATTTTCTATCTATCAGCCCTGTACCAAAGAGCTACAGGGATATATAATTTTCATAAAATCTAATTGTTTACGGTTTATTTGGTAAAATGTTACCCTGCAGTATTTGAACATTACCTGCACACTGCAACATATATCAGTGTATTCATGGCAGCGTTCGCTTATTACATTTCATGACACAGATTGTATTCAATAGTCGAGAACATCACAGGGGACATTTGTCGGCTTCCTACGGTTAGTAAAGAGCAAAGAAATTAAAATATATAGTCCACAGTGATGCGAAAATCTGCAATGTCCCCTTCATTGCCTACTATGCGGGAATAGTATTCTAGCATTTGTTTAGCTAACGCACCATTATCCACGATCTGCAGGTTAAACCGTGGTCGAAATCGCAGCATTCAGACACAGCGTCATCCTGAGCAGGATACAATAAATGGATATGGTAAAGTCGGGTCATTTGCCACGATGCTGGACTTTGCCCTAGGCCTGCCAGCTTGCGGTTCTGTTTGCCGTACACTTTTTCCGATTGTATCAAATTGATCATTCCATTTTTCGGAGAACGCAAGTAGCAATTCGACCACTGTGTAGCCTGTATTGTTCATCGACACCTCAGCCGTAACTAATGATACCTTTCACATAAACACAGCGAGATAATTGGAATTAAAAAATGTGTATCGCGCTCAGCTTTATGCGAGGAACTTACATGCTCGTTACATAAAAGATCCTTGCTAATATCGATGATCATTCAGCAAATCCAAGTCAATTTCACTATTTCAACATATTTGTGTCCTCATGGACGAACAGTATGTTGTCTCGAACGTTGAAAATTTCGCATTCGATTTTGCAGTGGTCACTTGTTATGGAGCTAAAATGTTGAAACTCAACGTACTTTTGCCAGTCAACTAGAATAGCTCAAGAAATGTAGTAACATGAGCTTCTATCTTATAGTTAATGGTAATCGGGCAACCAAATTGGATGTCTCATCAATCAGTGTATTCTGGGTAGCGTAGGACTACATCTGCATTATACCTGCGTGACCATTCAAACCTCTGCTAAAGTTAGAGTTTGCCTAAGTAACACCCTTCTTGGATACAAGCACTGAGCCTATGTATAATGTGACGTAGGTTGATTTGTACGACCTCACCCTTTGTGTTCATATGTGTTCGCTATTAAAACCTACGGTGTAGAAAGCTGATAAAACTGAATTTTGCATAGCCTTGTTCTATGTATATTCTTTTGGATCCGCCCTTATTTAAGCCTGTTCATTTAGGTGAATTGCATATTTGACTGCCTATAAAATTGGCCTGTTGAAACAGTTGCGATTGATACTTTGAGTTATTCCTTAATTTTATTAGAACTAATCTAAGCATAAGAACACCTTCTGCGTCTCCACAGTCGTCCAGCGATAGTGACACTATCTCCTAGCTGTATCCTTGCATAAATAATGTCTCATGACATTAAAGAAACAAGCACTACAAGGATTGTCTTTATATACCTCTATATTTATCCGCCAGACTTCCTATTGCCTGCGTATCCTGTACACCTCAGTACTAGCAACAGAAATGCAGCAAGACATTACTGCGACAGTGCATGATTTGCAAAGCTTGGATTCTTTAACTCGGCGTTTCCCGCGCTCTCGCATTTTGTGTCCTGCCAATCTTGTCGATTTATCTAACTTCCCCCAACATAGACACCAGAACCAATTTAGTGTTCGATATATTGACTCCTTCTTTTGCGGATCCATAAGCAGAACGGCGCGTATACGTAGGTAAAATGATGAACTAAAGCGAGTATATGGAATGACAAAGGAAGACGTAGCTGATGCGTGTTTCTTGTACCACACCGACTCCCAAAGTATAAAATGGTGTAGCAGCAGCCGAGTAGCACGAAATGATATAGAATTTTATAAGAGTTTTTCCCGTGAAAGCTTTCTACTTTTCTCTGAGGGCGGATAGGGCAAGTGCGGCTAAGACCAGTTCTGAATGAAAGGTCTGTCCATTTCGGGCGTCCACTATATTTTTGCGTCCACTACTTCCACTAAAGTCAGCGACCCCCGGCTATTCTTTGATTTTTGAGACGCAGTTGCATTGTCGGGAGGTGCAATGCATCCGTTGTTCCGGGCCTTTTATAGCGAATACATATGGGTTCGATGTCAGGTATCACAGCGTCATCCAACAGGTGCCTAATGTAATAAAAGGAAACCGATTGTTACAATTACTAGTACACTGCCAGCGCGATTAAGCCGACTCGGAAAGGCAGATCACGACACGGTCATAGGACATCAGCATCTTAGAGAAGAAGACATTGAAAGGCTATGGACAGACAAGGAAACCACTGCAGGGATCTGGGAGTTCTAGGAAAGCCCAAGCGGACTTAGAATGGTATGCAGGTGACAGGAACACGCCTCCATAAAGAAGTATGACAGTCGCCAATCCGCACCGCAGAAGTAGTAGTAGCGATGGAAATCGAAAGCCCTTTTGGCATAGGCAAGAAGCATCTTCTAGGACCCGGCTTCTCGGAAGAGAGAAAACGAGTGACTGCAGGACATTCCGTTTATAGTCGATGGAAGCTAGCACATTATGAAAGGATACCCTGAACGGCGAGGTAAGGTGATGAGGGGAGCGAGCGAAGGCGGAACAGGGGGGGGGGGGGGTCGAGAACATTTGGGGACAAGCAATAACCTAAGGCAACGGATGAGTCTGCTATGACAGGGTCGAGCATAACTTTGGACTCTTTCGTACATGCTTCTCACGCTATTAAAAGGCAGGTCGGTTATTGCTCTCTACTAAAGTTGCTAATAGCTTCTACATAGAACGGACATCTAACATAAGAGGTAACGTGTATATATACAGGGGTCGTACACAGACTCATACATGGTACCACAGTGAAAAAATGAACGGGATGACTATGTAGGAATACCTATATGAAGGTTATGCGGCAGGCGAAGGCAGGGTCGTTTCTAGCGAAGAGGTAAAAGGGGCCATAGCCGTAGTCAAGGCCTTGACCTCTTAGACGACGTTCTACATGCAGCGAAACCTCTGACGATCGAAGCAAAGCCGACGCACTATACACCACGTGCCCCGCGTACTATTATGCGACGGCTAAAGGCCGGTAAGCTCCTAATGGGAATGAGACAGCAGATGCAGTAAGCTAAGCGAAATAAGGTGCGCTTCTCGCTGCGAGCAAAGTGGATACGTGAATTGAGTTAGCGGGGGAAATGTTGCTGGCATGGGAAAAAGATGTGTTTGGCAAAGAAAACCTGCGCTTAGCTATTTGGGCTTACCATGTTGAGTTGGTCGATCCTGCCGTTCATGATATAACAACGTCTGAATTCCTCGTGTCCAGAATTGGATGCAGCACGCCAGGAAGGGTAACTCGGTTAGCGGGTAGGCATCTAATATGTACGTTATCGAGTTAAAAAGGTTCAATACAGGAATACGAAGTCGAGGGGCATGTGTTCCGAGAGGAAGATTGGCGAATGATCTCCTTTACCATGATCTGACCGCCAATGTCAAGTCTGAAAGGCTAGCTTACGCCACCAGAGAATCAGAATTCTTCCCTTTAAAATAATGGATGCGTAGGTACATGACAGATAAGCGCGTGGCTATGTGGGGCTAGTCTGCCCGCTTGGTGACCGCGGAAGTGCCCAGCTGCTACGCCGGTCTGATCTTCTCCGACGTCGTTGCCCGTTCAGTGTAGTTTTGGTCTCCTGAATTGAACGTAATATAGATGGCGCCTGATAGAAAAGGTTAGATAGTTAACTTGTACAGAAAAAATTACCTCGAAAAGAATCGCTATGCGTGTGAGGTTCAAAAATGCGCTTTTGTCAACATCTAACTAGCGAGCAAAATGATCATGAAGAAATCATAGAGAGTTAACCTTAGCA